GTAAATCAACCTCATACAATTCTATGACAAAGGAATGCTCTGTTCCCAAGTCATTTGCTTGGGCGAATGGCACCATCAATTTACATCTTAGTAAGAAGTAGAGGAAGCAGTTGCTCTTTTCAGTGCCACATTCCCTTGGCTGCCAATTCTGTACCGACCTGAGGAAATGATGCCACTAGCTTGCGACTCCTCAGCACCAGACCCAGTGTGACATTCCTGTGCACACAGAGGAAGAAACACAGAGGGCTTATGCAAAGCTTTTGGAGCAGCAATGCACATAAAATCCAAAATCTTTATTTCCTCTCGTGGGTGCAGAACAGCCATGAGGGAACCTAGGATAGCGAAGAATCTGAAGATTGTCTTATAAGTTACGACCTGGATGTTTAGCTCAGAGAAGAGCTTTTATAGATGTAATAATAGTCTTCAGATATTGATACTCTGTCAAGAGAAATGTCAGCTAGATAATTTTCACTATTACAGAGGACAGAGCAGGGTTATGGGTAAAATTTTCAAAGAAGTAATTTTCAATTCAGTACCAAAAATATTTTTTAAGAGCTAGAGCTACTCAAAATTGAATAACCTACCTGGTTAGTTAATGTGCTAGTTAATTCTCTATGTGGAAGTTTACAGGGAGAGGCTGTTGCACCTATTCAAATGCTGAGTGTTTTGAGTGGAAAATTGAAGGGATAACTTAAGGTTACATTTTTTAAAAGGGCTGTGGTATCTGGCTAGAGTAGCAAAAAAATTTAACCTATATAGTGTATCTATTATTTATTAGTGAAGTTACAGACATTTTCACACCATACTTAGATACACAAAACAGAGGCAGTAATTATATAATTAACATAATCTTCTTAGCAAGGATGCATCATGTAAGGTAGGAGCAGGGAAAGTGTGCGTGGTGAGATCTCTTTAAATTTGCCGTTACAAATGCTTCTGGTTGAAATAGTCTCTTTCCTTATAAATACCCCCACCCCCAGCCCCTCTGAAGGACACCACGGAAAGGCTTGGGCTTACTCATTTTTTTTTTTGACAGTTGGGGAGAGCTAAGGGGCCAGGTGACTGGCCGCTTTGCCAGTGGAGACCACAGACATGCAACTGGTTTCGTCTGCTATTTTTTGGTGTTTGTCCTGCATGTCTCTAAAATTTGTGCTCATTTGCTCTTATTTGGGAAGTCCTAGCAAATGACGGTCTCTTTGTCTTGAACCCTGGGCCTCTAGCTTTCTCAGAAGCTGCATCCTGTTAGAGGGCATGTAGAAATTTCCAACCCCCTGAATGTTACTCATGGAACATGGCCAGAAGCACTGCTTCGGTCCATCTCTGTTTCTGCCCTCTGTGCCACCATCACCGTATTTGAAATTTAAGAGGTGGGTGTAGAACTTTACAGAGAGGCTGGGATCTGAGGTCTAGTATGCCCGGGAAGAGTGCCCTGAGAATCTCGAAATCCCACAAGCTAATTCTGTCTGTTTCCTAATCCTTTCCCACTTTCTTCGCTTGAGAATTTCACCTCAACAGGAGAACTATGAAGACGTGTAACTTTGATATCACTTCCCATGATGATCTCAATCTTCTCACCAGCAATCGAGGCAGAAAATGGGCACTGTCTTCTTAGTTAAAACTCTGTGATCAAGTCAGCCAAGCCCGGATCTTGATAAGGCTAACAAAATTATATTAAAACAACCTCAAGTATTACAGTTATGATACCCATGAACTATAAATAGAACAAAAGATTAGAATAAGTGTGGTATAAATACATTTAATTTCATAATCTGAGTCATATGGAATAATATATCACTGTTAAAAATGAAGGAACATCTCACTTTAGTATTTTAAATGTGAAAACTATAAGGCCAGGGGGCAATATTCCAGAGAAAGAATAGTTTTCATCTCAAGATGATATTCAGTCCGATAATCACACTTGTTTGATGTGCCTCAATGTGCAGTAAAATAAAAATGTGTGTTTGAGTTCTGAAACTCTAGATTTAAATTTGATAAAGTATGCATCAGACTTTAATAGGTATGAATCAGCCTCAGTGTAAACAGATTTCATACAGAATGCAAGCTGTTTATTTTGGAATGCTCAGTTTAACTTGGTAAAATATAAAGATGAATACTAATCTCTAAAGTGTGAAAGGAACAATTGTCCAAGAAATAGCACAAATGACTTTAAAAAAAGCAATCTAATTCTTTTTGTTTCAGCTTATAAATTTGGAGTGAAAATACACCAAGATAACAAGATAATTAAGTCCTCATAAATTAATCTTAAAACCTTAAGATGTTATCTTTAAACCTACGCATTTTGCTTATTAACTATCTAATTCTTTGTTTGCAATTTTTAAGATAGGTTTTCGTCAGGCTTGAAATTCTACTTTGTGAACTAGAATGGAAAAATAAGCAGGAAGGGGAAAAAAAAAAGAGAAACCTACTTTAAAAAATATTTGGCAATGATAAGCAAAGGTGGTTATTTACTCTTGACTAAAAAAGATGAAGACAAAAATACCCACATTGCCTTTCCAAGAAAAGCATGAGATGAAACAAACTTAAGGTATAATTTTACTAGAAATGAAAGAGGAATAGAGTATTTATAATTATCCACAGCTTAATTGAACAGGTGAACACATGCTGGTTGGCATGTGCGCTCATTATATGTTTCAAGTTTGCTAAACTACTTCTTGCTGCTTCAGGCCTGCATCTATAACCAAATGGTGTTCAGTACCAACTCTTCGCTGTCACCAGCCATGATTGTAAAAGACTGAGAACTCCCTTTTTGTGTCTTACTCTGGTGGAAGAAATGCTGCCTGAAAATGAACAACAGTAAAGATCTAATCAGATTGTGACCTATAGTTTAGAAAATATTTTGGAGGTTTCAGAGAGGGATGATTTATGGCCAGGGAGTAAATAACTTAAGAATGTTGGGCGGTTGTAAAATGTAACTCTGAAAGTATAGTTGGAAATACTCTGATGAAGATAAAAAGAAGAACATGATCAAAGAAACCAACAATGGTCCACATTTTTCAGCGTTTACCTGGAGAAAGGCTGCTGGGAAAGGCAGTCCCATGGGCAGTCTTTTGACCCCTTTTCAGCCACATAAGAATGCACCTGGGGCCTGGAACACTCCCTTACCAAGAGATAAAGAGCCCACACTGTCCGTGCCATGCTTATCGCCTTCTGTGGGAAGATCTTTCCCTGTTTCAGACTCAGTGTGTACTCCTTTGTTCTGCTTAAGCATGTGTGTCAGTGGCCTTCAGCCTCACCCCCCAGCTTTCAGTATTTCAAACTGCACAGGTTGGAGTCCATCTGCTACATCACAAGAGGTGTGCATGCGGGCTGCCAGTGGGTCAAGAACAGGGGCCCACACACACTATTGCAATTGATTTTGCTCCGTCTCTATGTGAGTAGAAGCATTGCTCCATCCGGTGCTTGACTGTATTGTGTTTTCCTTGGTGACTCTGATACCAAGAGGCAGTGGGCAGAAGTGCGTGTCCTGTTGATTTTAATGAAGACAAAGAAAGCCTAAATATGAAACTAGGAAATAGTGCCTAAGAATAATTGAATGTGCTTTGAATTAGTAATCAATGTCTAATTTATGAAGATAGATTGGAATGAAAGGCCTAAAAAGGACTAGAGGTAAAAATTAACAAAAAATAAATAAGTAAAATAGTGGCTTCCTGTTTGCTACAGCATGGTATACCAGAGAACTGGAGTGATATCCCACTTAAAACAACTGAAAATGGTATGTCAGTTTTGAAAATGTCTTTATACATGCTTGTATAAGCTGGGAAAACCACCCAGACCAAAATCAGGTGGAGTGCTGCATCTAGCTTTCATTTTGAGGGCATATGCCAAACCAAGTGAATCTGAACATTGGTTTTTACAGGCTTCTAGGGCTCAGGGAACAAGGGAAAAAACCCGGGGCCTGCCGCTCCTACCAGAAAGGTGGGAGAGCCAAGCTATTTGCTCACCAGTTGTGTTTCTTTCTTTGAGCACAATGGAAAACACTGTTTCACCACCTCTCTCGAGTTAGGTAAAGGCAATGCGATGCAGCCGATCTGGCCGGTGTGATGTGAATGCAAGTGTCATGTTTTTTTTGCAGGCCAGGCTGCAACATAGGTCTTCTCCTTTCAGCAGGCTATGCGGTTATGTGCAGAAGACGTCAGGGTCCCACTTTCGGGTAAAACTGATCACTGACTCAGTGCACAGGAAGGAGCACCGAGGAGAGTTGTGATTCTCCTTAATACATCCTTCCACAGCTCTGATTTTAGTGTTCTCACTTTTCTTGTGAAATAATTAAGATTCATATCCCCTAAGATTCTTCTAATCCTAAAGTTTTATGATTTTTTTTAAATACATTATGAAGAATTTGAAGGTAGGCGTGACATTTTGTTTCATATTGTATGAACGACCCATGAAACAGACTTGGTAAATTTTGAATGAATCTGTGAACAACTAATTCCAAAGGTACTTTTCCCTGCAAAAGTGTCCTCTGTGGCAGCTATCCCTACTTTTAGTCAAAATTGTATTCCTTCAATGTCACCATCTTATTAAGGCACGCATTTTTAGGGAAAAAAAATCATTGAACAAATTCACCCTCAGGAATAATGGTATGAGCCCTGCAGGCTGACTGATACTCAGTTACTGTGCACTGGTATTGTTTACACAAGTTGTTAAAACATTCCCGTAACATTTCATAAATATCTTCAGCTTCAAACCCTCCACTATTCCTGCCCCTACAACCTGTTGGCCATCTTTGCTTGGGTTTCTACAGGTTCTGACAATTTTATCATGTTCATTTTTCATTATTTCTCAATACCTGTGTAGTCTCAGTGATTGTCCTAGTGAGCTTGACTTTGTGTATTCATGGTCATCTTTTTTCCTCTCTAACTTCCTTTATTCAGTTATTCACCAAATTCTCTTAATCATACTTCCTAAATATCCCTTGAATGGGTTCTGTTTCTTCATTCCCGCTGCCAAATAATGGATGGTCCAGCCATTCTCAACTGTAGAAAATTCCCATCCAAGCCCTATTTCCTCATGCCCCTGCATATTCTACTTCTCAGCAAATAATACCTTTTTCAGTCTCAACACTCTTTTCTGTCTTAAAGATGCCTCCTGCTTATCGTTTGGGAAATTTAAATAGCTCTCTGTGGCCACAGCCTAGCATACAAAGGGGAAAGGCAAAGTGTAGAGAAAAACACAGAGGCTTCACCTGAGGATACTTGTAAGAAAAATTAAAGATGCTAAACTTTGTGTCTGAAAGAGGTAAGGAATTATGATGTTTCATTAGCAGGAAAGTGAAAACCTAGTTTGCCCTCTAGAAGTATTACTCAGGCAGGAAGGGCAGTATTGGGGTAAATTGGAGGCCATGATAATTGGAGCAAAGAGCAATAATCTAGGCCAAACAGATGGCTGTGCTCCCAAGTCCTGGAGGATAGAAAAGGGAAGGGTCAAAGTATTTGAGAAAGTAGTATTGACACAACATCGTGTTTGATTGGCTGTGGAGGGTGAAATAGAGGGAGGGATTTAGAGTAAGCAAAAGATTATGGCTGGGATGAATGGATGTAACAGCTATTAACTAAAATGGGGAAAACAGAGAAGAACACTGACATGGCTGTGCATGTGTGGGTGATGACTTTGATTTAGATCTAATAGTTCTGAGAGGCCTTTAGGGGACACAAGGGAAGATTTGCAGTAGGTTGTTGAATGTATGAACTTAGAACCTAGATGAGAGTTCTGGTCTGGGCAGGTAGATTTGAAACCCATCAGCCTATCAGTGGTCATTAAACACTTTGCCTTCCTGATTGCTGAGGCTGGATGGAAGGAAAAGGAGCAGTGGTCACCCTACTTACCCGTTGTTTCTGTCATAATTTTCAGCACAAGTAGTTGCCTAATGGAAGTAACACAAGTGAAAAAGATGTGATAGGGTTCCTGAGTCATTTTCAGTCATTTATATTTCTTAGAACGTTTTTTATCTGCATTTGAAGCAAATTCTGGTTCAAATAGAAAGCCTCTCAGGGCTGTCAGTGCCTCTCCTTATTCTGAGACTTACTGAAGTCCTGTGTTCCATGGCTATGTAAGAATTCCATACCCAGGGGATAGGGCAAATGCCACATGAGAACAGGGCAAGAAGGAACCATGGATACTTCTATTACATGTATATGTTTTGCTCAAGCTTGTGGTTTATTGTCCCATCACTTTTCAAGTTCAGACATAAAATTATCACAATTTCAAGATAGCAGTGGAGTGCATTAAACCAAGCGCAGGGCCTTTCTGGGTGTGGGGCGCATGAGACTGCCCAGGTTGTATGCCCATGAAGCTGTCCCTGTGTATTATGTTCTGTCATATGGCTTCATCCTGTAACACAGTACAGGTTGTTTGGCTGATCAGTGTTTACCATTCAGGCAGATGGCAATAATTATAAAGATACATGGTTATGACAGTGTGGGGAAAATGTCACCCCTCCTTCTTGTCTCTTCAGTTGTATCCTTAGAGTTATCTTTGGCTATAGAAAAGCTATATGTTAGCAATAAATATAGTCATCCTCTTATACACATCTTTATCACCCACCAAGCATTTTCTTAAACATGGCATGGAGGACACCAGTTTTGCTTTGATTTGGTTTTTTCAGCTTTGATTCACCTTTCGTGATCATGTTTCTTTTGTGGGCTTTTCTGCCACTAGAGGGAAAAGTTTGTGTTCAGCTGCAACTCATTATGCAGGGGCCAGGGAGAGAAGGAAAATAATGTATGTTTGTATAGGGAGATGAAGAAATGAATGCACCTTCATGAGAAGTTTTGTCATTTTAGATTTATCCTTGATATGTGCCTTTTTATACAGGAAACTTTTTTTTAATAGATGAAGCCTCCAGCAGTCCCATTATCTAAATCTGTATTTGCTTCTGTCATTGTCGCATAATAATTTTCCATTTACTGAGTTGCTGAGGAAAGAAAAAGGAGAAGGTTGCATCAGTTTATTAGGGCCAGTTGCATATGTGGCTTTTATAAATCTTCCAGAATTTCTACTCTACTATCTTACCTTGCAGAAAAGATATTTGCATATCTAAGTCATATTTACATTTTTTATAATTCTAAACTTATATTACCTTCTTAAGTAAACATTGAGGAATATAACCATCTACCATTTAGCAGCTCTGGAGTTATAATTTGGCAAAGCAAATATTTGTCCCCCAACCATCTTTGGCAGAATGTAGGCATATAGGTAGTTTGTTTTATGAAGTGTTAAAAATGTCTTACTCTGTGTCTTAGACTAGACATAAATTTTGTATAAACTGAATGAAGGTGTTTAAACACACAGATTTGCCAACCCACAGATGACTTGAAAAGATTGTGCTATGATGACTTAAAATCAAGAAATGAATATGAGCAGTTTGTAAACTATCAATACAGAAGTGGTGAATGAGAGTGAAATATATGTCTTTGAAAAATATCCTTAGGTATTTTTTTTATTCCCTAATGAGACATAAAGATATTCTCTTTTTAAAATTTTTTATTGATTTAGAATCATTTTACAATGTGTCAACATAAAGACATTCTTTAATTCTGCAACACTTTTTTGTTTCATTTTATATAGTAACTATTTGTTGTAATTACTATAAATATAGTTGAGCATACACACACTCTCACACAATTTTTTACTGACTTCCTGGAACCCTTGAATTAAAGCAGAAGTGAGCACTCCAAATGATAATTTCAGATTTCTTTCATTCTAAAACTTTTTCAGTAGAATATTTTTCTCTGAAATTGTAATACATTTTACATATTTGTATATATTTAAGATAGTATATTTTCTTGAAAAGGTTTTATTAAATTGATGATGTGTTTTACAAGCAATGGTTTCTTAAATTGAGGGACTGCAATAATAGCTAAGACCTAAAAATGAATTTACATGATCCAGGCATTGTGTGTTATATACTTTTCAGAAATTTTCTCATTTGATTTTCAGATATTATGAGGCAAGACTTATTTTTACCATCCTTTCCATTATGAGAAAACTGAGGCTTATAGGGCTGCCTAGGATAATGGTGCTATTAACTTGAGCTTCGGCGTCATTCCAGGCTGATTTCAAATGTTACATTCAAAAACCACTCTCCTGTTTTGCTTTGGACAAAGATCAATTGAGTGTTATTCACTCCTGAAAGATTTGTGCTATATAATTACTTGGCCACAATATTTTAAGGATACCATTTGTGTGTTTGTGTTTCCCTGCTAGTGGCTGTGTCTAAGTCCACATCTAAGTAAAATCACTCTTTGCAGTTGCTTGGTGTCCACCTATAAAGTAGAAAAGAATGAAATGGCTTGAGGAGATGGATAATTGCACTTGGACTGGTCAAATTACTGAAGAATCGATAATGCTGTTTCTATAAGACTATTGACGGGGAGGCTAATCTGAGCCCATGACTTTACTTCTTGCCAATGTTTCAAGAAATATTAGATGCAGGATTATCTGCAGAACCTAAGGATCCTTGTAGCCCGACTGAAAGTAACACAGGATTATTCTATTACAGTTGATTGTTTTCGAACACTCTGGTCATTTTCATTGTATTATAGCTATGAAGCTCCTTCATCATGCCTTTTCTGTCTCTACTGCTTTTGGAAAGGAATTTAGTATGAACAATTTGCCCTCTACTGTGCACCTTAATTTACTTATCTATTTTATAGCAAGATGATATAGTCAAAGAAATTCTATTCATACAGAGGAGACTTAGCCACTTTGAGACTTGAAGACTAATTTGCATTAAATTTCATAGATTTTATTCTATTTAAAACAGGTATTTGTTTTGTTTTGTTTTCTGTGTCTTAATGCACTCCCTAGGGCTTAAGTTCTTAACACAGGCATCTTTTATTTGGCATTGTCAGTACAAATAACTAGGTGCCACTGATAAAACTAAATTTGTGAATTAACAAAACAATGACATGTGGGAAAAAAATAGAATAATTGTACAAAAATAAGTAGAATTAGTTCTATTATTTTAAAATAGTGATTTAAGCAGTGCAGTGAATTGCTATCACCATTTTATTATTAAAAAGTCACAGAATTGTACAATTTGATATTTGCATTCTCATAGCAGTTAGTCACAACTCAGTTGTTATGTCAGTCAACAGACTGTGTTTGAACTGATTCAGTGTAGAAGGAGAAGAAACTGGGCATTCTGAATTGAGAAGATACATAGATCTCCTTGGCACACACTGCCAAAGTCAGTTCCTGCCAGATAAATACATGTTCTTGTTCCACCTGGGAAAACTGTGTGACCACTACTATTCGGGTTAAGTAAGGAAACAAATTTTGATACAAGTCATTTTGTTTAATAATTAATATTAATGAGGTTAAAGTCATGGAATATGTAAGGCAAAATTAAGCTTGAAAAATACAAAAAGAAAGTGTTTTAGGTTGTCTTAAGTCTTTAAAGAAAAGTTTACTTCAAAAGATAAAAAAGAGTCTGAGTCTACTGTAGTTTTGTTGACCGTTCTGAATCCAGTTTCTCTGAATGATGACAGTGCTAGAAAATTATGCTGTCGGTGGAATTAGTGCTTTATGACCTTCAGCTCCCCCTTTTACCCCTGCACTTTAGTAAAGTATACTCCATCCTCCTCAGGAATCCGCAGCCCTCATAAAGATTCCAGAGCACCCATTTAGAGGGGACCCCATTCTCATGTCTCCAGTTAGGACATTTGTCAGACCTCTTTAATGGAATAAATATCACGGGCTTATTCTGGATCCAGTAGGGGGGTCTCTTCTCTGAGAGAGGCTCCTGTTAATAAACTGTGTGCTCATAAGTTAACATGCATTTGTGTGGGCCACGGGCCAGAGAGAGATCAGACTCACCTGGT